AAAAATGCAACAATGAATGAATGGAAATCCAAAGTCTCTGTAAATTTTCATTGAAATTAATAATAAATTTTTAAAAATTAATAATAATTTATAAAATAGTCTATTTTTAAAAAAAGAATGTGGTAGGCAGCAGACCACTTTTGTCTTTCAGTACCATGTGGTCGATACTGTCTATTTCATAAGTGCATCCAGAAGCCACATGTAAACAGAGGAAGTTGTATACACAATGCTCTAAAAAATCAGATTCCTTTCACATCATGACTCAGCACTGACTGCAAACATCTAGACTCATCCTGGGAAGAGAAGAAAGCATTTCCTTGTCTCAGAAGTGCAGGGTTTCTGAGTTAGGGCTCATCACAGGCCGCCATAATGTGGTATTTTTAGCTTCTCACATGAGACTGTCTAACACATTCACAAATAAATACTCCCAAGTGAGTGAGTCGGAGACTGAGGCAGAGTTGTTGTTTTTAAGTTACATGTTAATTTAATGGCAGCCTGAATGTGTTAAATCTATTTGTGGTTAGAAGGTTGAAGCCTATGGCTTAGAGTTGGTTTTAGGTGTCACATTTTAAATTGAAACGGCAGAGCAAAGGAAGGGTTATTCCATTTAAAAGAGAAAGGTTTGGGGCTGCTAACCAAAAGACCATTGGTTCAAACCTACTGGTTGCTCTACAGGAGAAAGATGAGGCTGGCTGTTCCCACAGCGTTTCAGCCTCAGAAACTGTAGAATGTTCTACTCTGCCCTGTAGGGTCGCCAAGAGTTAGAATTGACTTAACAGTAATGGAATTCTGGTAAGGATTCTTTTTTTTTATTATTATTATTTTCTATAATTATATTTTATTAATTTTCATAAACATTTACAGAGATTCTGGGCTTCCACTCATTCATTGCTGCACCACTCTCTCCACCCTCCTCCCAGTTTGTTCTTGTCCAAATGCCACAGTGCTTGTCAAAGCCAGTTCTGATTAATCTTCTTTGTCAGTGTATCCTTTGCCATTCCCTATCACTCCTCCCTGAGAGAGACTTCACCCTGAGTCATAAGGAAAAGGGGACGGCGTATTCTCTTAGCTACTTCCTGCTGAAAAGGGACGCTGTGGGTTTCAGGGTGAAGATCTTCTCTTACTAATTCTGGTAAGGATTCTGTGTAGTCTGCGATGGTGCAAGGTCTGCTGAGGGGAGGGGGGCAATATTACAAGTCAGTTCACTGAGTGATGATGCCGCTTTCCTCATTTTATGTCAAACAGGGAAAAAGCAGGGAGCAGCCTTGCCATTTTGTACCTATTGTGTTTGTAAAGGGAACCTAGGTTAACACCAAGGGGAAGCATTTGACTGCTAACTGGACAGTGAGTGGTTAAATCCCTCCTAGCTGTTGTGTGGGAGAAAGATGAGGCCCTTTGCTCCTGGTTGAGTTTATAGCCTTGAACCCTCACTGAGGCAGCCCTACCCCTGAGTGGGATCAACTTGATGGTAGTGGGTGTTTGTAAGGAGATCTAGGGGACCAGCATCCTGGAAAGCATAGTTGTTGTTGGTGTTTAAGATACAGACACATAGCTAGTGACACTAGCCAGGATGTGTTCTCTGTGGGGAGAGAGTCCCTGCCCAGGACAGGCATTTGATTTGTAAGGCCAATGGGTATTTTCAACGAAGGTGGAGAGGAGACACGTGGGCTGGCTGGAAATGCAAAGGCATTAACTCCATATCTTTTTCTGGGCTCTTAAAATAATTTACCTCTTGTGCTAAATAAAGCTCACCTCACACTGAGCAGGGAGGGAAAAGTGACCATTGAATGAACAACTGGAAAGAGTGCTTTCTGCATGATATACTTGGATGGTAGGTGTGGATGACGTGGACGGCCGGTTTGTCACAGGTTCTATAAACAGTTAAAGACGAGGTCAGAGCCCCTTGGAGAGCAGGAACTCAGGGCAGGCAGTGGGCGGCCCCACAGGACAGGATCACTGGTTTGGCTAACGGAAAGTACAAGGCGGGGAATAAAAGCAACTCAGAGGTTGCAAGAGGCACAGCTCAGAGGCCTGGGCGCTTGGCAGTGGGGAGGGTGGATACAAACGCCCAGACACAGGTCCTGGGGGAGGAGTTTGCAGCCACTTTTCGAGAGACTCCCACTGACTTCCTCTCCCTGCTGTTTACTGTTTGAAGGATGGAGGCTGCACGTGTCCAGGAGATGTCGCCAAAGCCTTCGGTAAGACCCCGGCAGGGACGGGCCTCCTTACTGTTTGCAGCTGCTCCTTTGCAACATGCTTTTGGATGGGTGGGCAGGGCGGCCTTGCGGGGCAGGAGTTGGGTGGGGACTGGATGGAGTACGGGACTGTGTAGAGAGCAGTGGAGTCCCAATTTGCCTGTAATCCTGGCATCAGTTTGATTCTGGCTGGTGGTGGCCAAGTGCCCTAAGATGACGAGGGGAGCATTCTACATGCTGGGAGTGACAGCCTTCTCAGACCGAGGGACAGAAGTCTCAGGGAGCCTTTCATTAGGACAGTGTGCGGTCAGACTGGACTCAGGGACATCATTGAGAAGATAGGGAAGCCTTTCTTACCCGACGACGGGCAGCCTGCACTCCACCAGGGGGCAGCAGTGTCTCTCGGCTCTGTGAGTCTTTGAAGCCGGTCCCCGGAGTTTTCCTGGAAAAACACCTTGCAAGCCCACAGTCTCTGCTAAAAAGAAAATAGCTATTAAACCTGTACAGCCAAGTAACCTTTGTAAACTGTGGTCGTTAGTCAGAGCTCACAGCATTGTTGAGGGCTCCATACTAACGTGGGAGGGAGCAGTGGGAAACAGCACAGTGAAAAGTAAAACTGGAGAGGTCCCCAACCCCCCTTTCCTGAAGCCAAGGTCAAGTTTACACTCCATTCATACATCCTTTCTTCCTTGTCCTTTATTTCTCTCTTCTCTTCTTCCCCTCTCTCCTGTCTCCATTCTCTGGTGATGATAACTTTTCTGTCTTAGGAATTCTGATTTTTCTTTTTCAATACTCAAAGTGATTCCCATCTCCTAGACTCCTTGGGACAGTATTCTTAGCAATAGGGTTTCAAAGCATCCATAGAGAATGTAATAAAAGTGGGAAATCTTCTTAATTTAACTCCATTCTAATCCTAGATTTTAGGGAGCTTTTGTGAGTTATTGGTAAAGAGTTGTGTTGCCAATCCAATGGCAAGTGGATTGGGTCCACCAGCTGCTTGAGGGAGAAAATGGGCAGTCTTCTAATGTGTAATTCACTGCCTCTGAAAGCCCGCTGGAGGGTCAGTTCTGCCTGAAGCGTACAATGGTACATAACAACATCAAATCATAGATTTTTAGCTGTGGTCTTGGAGACAAAGATTCTGAAGCTACGTCTGACATACTTTGGACATGTTGCAAGGAGGGACCAGTCCTTAGAGAAGGACGTCATGCTTGGGAGGATGGAGGGACAGTACAGGAGGGGAAGACCCTCTATGAGGTAGATTGATTCAGTAACTGGGGTAATGGGTATGTCGAAGACAGTGAGATTGGCACAGGACAGAGCAGAGTTTAGGGCTGTTGTACATAGAGTTGCTATGAATAGCTGGTGACTTGATGGGACATAACAACAATAACAACAACAACAACAACCCAGTCGGTCCGTGTTATAGTTGAGGTGACTGGCTCAGAAAGGTGAGTAACAAGGCAAAGGTGACACACACAGTCAGGCCGAGCAAGGCACAAGATTTCTTTCTGTACTTGCTAATTCCTTATTTATGAGGCTCTTTAACCAAGGACATTTTAATATTGATTTATAAGCTCAATATGGGTGAGTGTTCCATTATGTGCTCCCCTCAGATATTTGGTAGTTACTTTCTGCCCATAGGAGCTCCCAACACTCAAAGTGGCTGGTCTTATAAAGAATTAAAGAATCCTTGGTAGCATAGCACCTCGTGTTCGACTGCTAACCAGGTCATTGGTTTGAATCCACCAGTCACTCGAAGGTAGCAAAATGGGCAACTTCCTCCAGTATAGATTTTGCAGACTTAGAAACCCAGTGGAGGGTTGTTATGAGGCAGAATTGACTTGATGGCAATGAGGCTCCCCCCACCTTTTTTATATTGGTTTGCATACAATGAATGATTCATTACATTTTGCTTCATACAATGATTCATATGGATGACAACAGTGTGTTTTGTAGAGGAGAGATCGGAATATGAGTCCAGGCCCTTGGATTATTGTTCAGGCCACACTGAGGGAGCTCTGCTCCCCTGTGGCCTATGTTTCTCCCCTTCACTCCTTTCATTAAGTGCTGGAGGCTTGGAGCAGGAGAGAGACAGTGCCAGGGAAAACACTGATTAAAGAAGGCTGCAAAATATTGAAAAACTAAAGAAACCGGAAGCCACTTCAAAGCATTCTTTAAATAGATCAGTGCTCTCTGTTCCTGCTGATTCATGTTTTATATTTGCTCTGAGGTCCAGGTGTCCTGTTCCTGGGGCAGTGGACACCAGTCATTCTTGTCCCCTTAAAGTCATGGCAGGTGGTAGGAGGGCCGCAGAACCAGGGTTTGTGTTAATAATCCTGAAAAGAGGAGTCAGCAAAGCTTGCTTCAAAGTGCAGAGGCCCCCTCCCCTCATGCCTTATCCACTTGGGTCTGTGTACAACTTGCCTTGCCATTGTGCTGAATGCCCGATGCAGATCTCAGATGTCCTCTTGCAAATATATGGATGGCCAAATGGAGGACGTCAAGGCAACTCTGTAGAGGTTGTTCCAGGTCGGGCTTTTAATAGGCTCCCTTGCTCCTTCTTCCACATTTCTTATTTATATATCTGGGTCCTCGTTCTCTGCTGACTCACCGGGGTCTGTCACGAGACTGAGTGGACTTGATGACACTTTTTGTTTTTCTCAACCCTTGGTCACTTTGTGTGTGCTTGCACGATAGGGGGGCTTTTTTCCGCAGGGGAGAAGCTGAGCCTTTCTCTTGGCCGTAGGTGGTAGTGGCTGTTGGGGGGTGAGTTGGGCAGCGCGCTGCTCTTAGAGGAGCTGGCGCCCCTAAGTCCTCTGCTTCCTTTCCCCCCTCACTGCTGGCATTCAGGAGCTGGAGCCGACTTCGTCATGCTGGGAGGAATGTTCTCGGGCCACACCGAGTGTGCGGGAGAGGTGATCGAGAGGAATGGGCAGAAGCTCAAGCTCTTCTACGGGATGAGCTCCGACACAGCAATGAAGAAGCATGCAGGCGGGGTGGCTGAGTACAGGTGAGTGCAGCGGCCTCACATCCGGACATGATGGGCACAGGTCTGAAAGAACACCAAGTCTATTGTGGGGAGGATCGAGGAAGTGTTTCTTGCTTCTGTTTTAAATAGTTCTAAGGCAGCTGTGGTGGCCTAGTGGCAAGAAGCTGTGCTGCAGTGCTGAAGGCATGTGGTTCAAGTCTGCCAGTCATTCTACCTGAGAAAGATGGGCAGTCACCTCCCATGGGATTAATTGCTTCTGAAAACCTGCTGGAGGGTCAGCTGTGGTCAGTTCAGACTTATTGGTACACAACGACAACAATGTCTACCCAGAAACCTTGGTAGTGTAGTGTGTTACGTGTTAGACTGTTAACTGAAAAAATGCCTGTTCAAATCTACCAGGTACTCAGTGGGACAGAGATGAGGCAGTCTTCTCTATAAACATTTACCGCCTTAGGAAGTCAATGGACTGTCATCGTGTATCATAATAGAGCCAATGACAGTGGTTGTTGCTGTTGTTGTTAAGGACCGTCAACAACTCACAGCTGACACTGTAGCAGGTTTTCAGAGGCTGTAAATCTCACAGGATGAGATTGCCCGTCTTTATCCCATGGAGCATCTGGCAGATTCCAAACCTTGTGCCTTTAGACGGGTAGCACACCACCTTACCACTTAGTGAGTTGGGGATTTTTTTTTCCTTTCTTGGTAATTTCTACCCAGTGCTAATGGGTTAGTGCAAATGGTTGATGCATTTGGCTTCTGATTGGAAGGTTGAAGGTTCTAGTCCATTCCAAAGTAAAAAGGTTCTGGTAAGAAGGTCTGGTGCAATCTTTGGGAAAACTCCGTCATTGAACAATCAGGGAGCACAGCTGTGCTCTCTGCCCTGGCACACCTTGGGTTGCATTGAGTTGAAATTAACTTAGTGGCAGCTGATTTGAATTTCTATCCAAGCTAGAACTTGCAGCATTTGGAAACCTCCAAAGGAAGTATTGAGCAAAAGTATTTTGGAGATGGATGTGAGTTTGACTTAGGGGTAAGCAGGAGGCTATGTGTAAGCATGTATGACTCTTATTCCATCACCCCTTGGAGGTGACACTCCAGACTTCTGAAAGGTGGCTGAGAAGGTTGTCTTGTCCTCTGCTGAGGCTTTGGTGAGCCTTCCCACTGGCCTTGATGCCTGGCCAGAGCTTCTGTAAATGTGAAGCTCAAGCTGCAAGAATTAGGTTGGATGTGGTCTCCATTATCACATGGTCATCAGGTGGTTTTGGGGTTCCCCCCCAAGATGGTAATGCTGGCAGCATTTTCAGCTCTTTGATTGTATCACTTACTACAGAAGAAGTGTTTACTTCTGCTAATCTTTTTTTTTAAATTTTTGAATCCATCATCCTGGAAGATTATCTGACCTTTTCTGTTGCACTTCCATTTGAATCTTCGCTTGTGTGTTTTAAGAACCCAGTGTCAGAATACCTCCACTTCCTTGCCCTACTCCATAGCGCTGTGTTGCAGATCAGCACTCATGCCCTATGACACAAAGTGGACAGGATAGAGGGTTTTCCAGCCTCAGAAGAAGGTCAGCTGGGATAAGCTAATCTCTTTCCTCTGGGATGCTGCAGGCTTCTTGCTTGGATGCAGGTTCTGTCCCCTGATGTGGGAGAAAAAAATCCCCAACTCCCCCCTGGCTGGCACCCTCCACTTCCCACCACTACCCACACCAAGCTCATTTTGAGCACAGGGAGGATTCAGATGCATTTGATAAGCTAGAGATAAAAACCTCAGCTCCTCCTCAACTGAGATTTCCAGGTGGGAGAAGGGTTGATGTCTGTGTTTTACTGGCCTTAGAAGTGTTGTTGCCATAGCAGTCTTCTGGAGTTCTGGTAGACCAGCTTCAATTCTCATTTTCCTCTGTTACAGCATGAGGAAGGGCAGGTCATAAAAGAGGGACAGGGACAGGGTGCTTTCATGCCTTCATCCTGCAGGCCTCAATCAGGATCAAGATGGCAACTCCTTCACAGGAAGCCTCAGAAGGCCGTCTCTCTATTTCAGGGGTAATGGAGAGTAGAAGTTAACGCTGTCTGTTAGGGGGTGTTGGAGGGAGTTCCTGCCTCAGTGACTAGCTTGGGCCTGTGGCCAGGAAGCTTCATGCTTTGCATGAACAGTTGCCGCCGTGTGAGGGCCCAGCCAGTGTCTCCCGTGTGGTGTTATGTAAGTGCAGCCACGTGGTCAAGTGAGAACTAGATACTTTGCCTGGAATAGATATTTTGCCCTCTAGCTGTTGGATCTGTTTTGGGCTCTAAGACTGGTTAGAAATGGGGGAAGGCCAGCTAGACTATAGCACGCACAGCTGGGAGCCAAGGAGCTGAAAGAAAAGTCAGCTGTCACTTCATCAGGGTTTAAACATAACAGAAAAGATTCGGGGGCCTCAAGAGTCAGTTTTGGAAGTTGATTCAGATCCAACACAGGGAGGAATTAGAACGTGATTGAAGGCTGCTGGAAGTAGCAGACCTGCCGCCCTCCTCCTCCTCCTCCTCATCTCCCTCCTCCTCCTCCTTCTTTTCCCTCTCTCTCCTCCTCCTCCTCTTCCTCCTCCTCCTCCTCTTCCTCTCCCTCCTCCTCCTGCCTCTCCTCTCCCTTCTATTCATTCTCTCCCTCCTTCCCCTCATCTTCTTCCTCTCCCTCCTCCTCCTCCTCATCTCCCTCCTCCTCCTGCCTCTCCTCTCTCTTCTATTTGTCCTCCCCCTCCCCCTTGCCTCCTTCTTCCTCCTCCTCTCCTCTTCCTCTCCCTCTCCCTCCTCCCCTGCTCTCCTCCTCCCCCTCCTTCTCCTCCTCCTCCCCCGCCTCCTTCTACCTCCTCCTCCCAGCTTGGCCCCACCCCCCAGCAGTAGTTTTCTGCTTCATTACAATGAACTCTTCCTAGGAATGGTTCTCCTACTTTGACATTCAGTTGAATGTCAAAGACAGAGTTAGTTATGCTTTGGTAGTTCCTTCCCAATCATTAACCATTTAGTGCTCGTGCTATCCCTGGTGGGCAGGTCAAAGTGCCTTCGTTCTACAGATGAAAAGATGGAAGCATCAACAATAAATGACTTTGGAAAGGGTGACACAGCCAGTTAGTAGAAGAGCAATGACTAGAATCTGGCTAAGTCCCATGGACATCTCTTAAGAAAACAAATGGTAATCATTTCAAGTATGTGTACACACCTATTTTTCTCTGTACACACAGCGTGGTGACCTGAACCACCCTGTGTCTAGCTAGTGAACTTGGATTTGTCCTTTTTTGGGTCTGAACAGCCAGTAAGCTAACCCTTCTAACCAGTAGCTTAAGTGGGTGGATTTCCCCTTCAGGTGGGCTCACAGGGGTAGCTTTCAGGAAACGAAAGTTAACACCCTTATGGAATTGTACTTAGTGAGTTTCTAACCAGGAGATGCTATTTTTTCCTATTGAAGAGAGAAAATTCCAGGTTTTGGGTAACTGTTGGTATGTTCAGATTATATGACCCTTAGATGAGGGCTATGGTTTTGCATAGTTTCCAGATTTTCTTCTTGTATTGCACCTGCAAAAGTGAGTCTAGCCTGTATTTGCATTATGCATCAAGGAAGGCTGATATATGGAATTCAGCAATGTTATTGGATAGCCTTCTAGAAAATGGGACACAAGGTTCAAGGAAGGTGATGTGATATTGCTTAGTGCCTGTGCTGGTTGCCAGGTCCAATCAATTACCAAACCTTACTGGGTAGTACATAATGACTATTGCACTAGACTACAGACCAAAAGGTTGGAGATTCAACTCCAGCAAGAAAAAAGATCTGGAAAGACTACTGAGGAAAAAACCTTACTTGATCCCGACACACGTAGGGTGATTTCCAAATGGATTCAACAACTTGTTGGTTTGCTGTGGAGGATGCTACTTAAAACCCACTGAAGTTGCAGGTTGCATAGATTTCTTAATGTTACTCTGGTTCTACCAGGTTTGGGTGTCAAAACAAGCCCAGGATAAAAGGTGCAGTGACATGTGAGTGTCCAGGCCTGAGAGCTGGAGTTGCATGTTCGACACCCCTAAAATACAGGCACGGTGTTAGAGGGGCGTCACTGTCTGGTGCTGGAGGAGGTTCGCACAAAAATAACTAGGGATTGGCTTGTCCATTTTTTTAAATCATCTTCTTCCTGGTTGTTACCTTGATAGGAACTCCATTTCTGAGAGTAGAGCTGGCTCGCAGCAGAGTGAACCTCTGGGCTTTTCCAGTTGTTAATGTGGGAGGGCACAGAGAGGAGGAAATATTGCGTAGAGTTCCTGGACGTCACTGGCTTGGTGCTTCTTTATTCCCATAGATTCATGGTCCATTGCCATAGCCTCACAGTGACCCCCTATGGTGTCGTAATAGAATTGTCCTCTAAAAGCTGATTTTTGTTTGGAAGTGGATAGCCAGGCTCTTTTGGGAGGCACCTCTGGGTACATTTGAATTTCCAACCTTTTTGTTAGCAGCTGAGCATATTAATCAATTTGCAACACCCGGGGACTGCGTAGTGGAGGGAGGATATACATCTACGGAGAGGATAAGAAGGTGGAGTGGGTTTCTCATAGGTGCACGGTGGAGATACATTGCTGAGGGGAAGAGTGTCACTCGCCGTACAGGATCTGGGTCCACAGCTTCATCAGGCATGGCTCACGACATCTCACCCTGCCCTGTGCAGCCAGAACTGACGCTCAGTTCTGTGTGTGGGAGGTATGAGTGCATCTGAAATTCTGGCAAGGCCTGCTTCTTGAAGGAACTGTGAATGTGGAGCCAGAAGGGGAGGCTGACAGGCAGACCCTTAGCTATTTGTGTGTGAAGATGGGATAATTCTAGCTGGCTTCTAAACAATGGGAGATGAGGGGGGTAAAAAGGAAACCCCCCAAATTCCTTTTTCTTGCAGAGCTTCAGAGGGCAAGACTGTGGAGGTGCCTTACAAAGGGAGTGTGGAGAACACGATTCTGGATATTCTCGGGGGACTGAGGTCGACCTGCACGTACGTGGGGGCCGCTAAACTCAAAGAGCTGAGCAGGCGGGCAACCTTCATCCGGGTGACCCAGCAGCACAACACCGTGTTCAGCTAACCGTGCCGATCAAGTGCCACGCAGCCTATGTGGATGCTCCCACATGCACCCGCTTGCTCCATCTCCCCCTAGGCTATCCTGTAAGAGCTGCTGCTGCTAAGAATGGTGGAATGCTGCCTCCTCCTCCCCAGTCCCGCCACCAGGAGGCCTTGGGACTCTCCCTAGTGCCTTGTTGAGGCCTGGACGCAGGACGCTGATCGGGTCAGTGGCCAGAGCCCAGCTGCCCAGAACTCATAACCTCACTGTTAGAACTAACATTGGCATCTTTTTCTTTTCTTTTTTTAAGAAAATGGTTTCACTTTAATATATCTTAAGAATTGAGTGCTGGAGTTTCCCTGTGTAGGAATCTAGCTGCATGGGGGAGTTGGGGTGTCTCCATTTCCCAGACAGGTTTAGTCAGTCCGCTACTAATGGAAATGTTGGCAATTCAAACACACCCAGAAGCACCTCAGAAGAAAGGCCTGGCAATCTGTTTCTGTAAGACCGCAGACATTGAGGACCCTATGGAGTGGAGTTCGATGCTGAAACACACAGTTAACACATGGCAAACACGCCTTGAGTCGGCTTTAACTAGACAGCAGTTTGGTCTGAAGTAGTCTTGGTTTTCTCAGATAGGTGAAGTCTGTTGCTAATATCCTGGACAACTGAGGCAGGGAAGAGCTGCCTCTGAAACGTTAGAGGAGCTGGATCCTCTCCTTCTATGTTTGTGTTGCTTGAAGAGAACAAAAGGAAGTGGTTGGACAAAAGAACATGAATGACTGGTTCCCCAGCTGATGTTTTACCAGGTTGTGGTGACCCTCCTTCCTCCCTCCCCCCACTTCATTGTGCCTTTGGAAGGAACATTTCCTGGCTCTAGACTGCCAAAAAACCAACTAGATATGTCTGGGGTCGAGTGCAAGCAGAGTGGTCTTTAGAGGCAAGGATGGTGACATTTCATCTCACATACTTGGGCATGCTGTTAGGAGGAGTTATTCAGAAAGGGCCATCATGCTTGGAAAGCGAAGCAGAAGAAGATCTTTGAGAGTGGTTTGACCCAGTGATTGCAGCAGTGGGCTCAGGTGTGTCAGAGATGAGGAGGATGGCACAGGCTAGGGCAGGATTCAGGTCTGTTGTTCCTGGGGCCACTCTGAGTTGTAGTTGACACCTGATGACCACCTGTTGGAGGACTTACAGAGTCTTGAGAAACTGTCTCTGGTTTCTTGTTTACCTCCATCCATCCATTTTCTTTCCCTTCTCAGCCCCACCTTGCCCAATTGGTTTCTCTCAAGGCAATTGCAGATTGATTTTTAAATTCCCTGGGATGTTTTATTGGAAAGTTACATACTTAAAACTGACAGGTCAGCCTTTCACCGGAAGCCAGCCAAAACCTTGAACAGTGGTATAGCACAGGGTCTTGGTTTGAAATAAGAGTGATTCGAGTTTCCCCCATAGTGAGGGGAACAATAACTATTTTCTATAAAGGACCACACAGTATTCCTATGTAACAATCAATTAATTAACTGATTGTGATGACATCTTGAAGAAGGGACCCAGCAGTGGTCTGCCCAGACACTAGTCAAAATCATGAACACGGAATGAATGAATGATGCCTGGCCACTACCATGAAGAATTACTTGGGTAATTAAACTGGGAAGCTTTTGTGGATTGGGACATTTATTTATTCATCAAGGCTAACGCAGCAGATGTTGCCGGCTTAAGGTCAGCCCCTAACCCACAGTGAAAAAACACTGCTTTATTCTGCGCTACACGGATCATTGACTATGAATCAGACGATTCAGATCAACAGTTTTCACAGGCTGATGTTTTCTAAGATACAGATTACTCATACTTTTTGGTGCAGCTTTGTCTGGTAGCTCTGGAAGTATGTATGCTTCCACTGACAGGCAGGTGTGACTGTGTGAGGTGCATTGGCTGGAAACGATCGTGGGTCTCCCACACGGAAGGCAAGGATACTACCACGGAGCCATCAGTGGCCTCTAAAGCAGCAGATAAAGAGCACATGTTCTTTAAAAAGGGAATGTTTCTTGGATTTAGAAGGTGGGAACACAAACTGTAAGATGTGATATAATGGCCTGGTTCCCCACAAGAGCTCTCATGGTGCCTGGCCATGCAAGTCAGAAGACCTAGTCCTCCAACTCTGAAAACACATAGTATTCTTTTTTTTTTTAATTTCTTTTATTAATTTTAGTTTACAGAGACTTAGGGTTTCCAGTCATTTCATTGTTGCACTTTTCTCCCTGCCCACCCCTTCCCCCCAATTCACTCTTCTTCTTGAAAAGCAAAAGAGAAAAACTCTTTCATTGTTATGCAATCCCTCTCCCCAAGTCCACTCCACTGTGCAGCCTTCATTCTGGACTCCTGTCATGACAATAATACCCAATCATGTATCTCTTTTAAACATTTCTTTCTCTCATGTATTTCAATGCAGTATACATCATTCCTCGCCTCCTTCTCTGTCTTCCCTCAACCCTGATATCAGTACCATTTTACAACAGTGGCCTTATGCAATATTTGTCCTTTTGTGACTGAGGTATTTTACTCAGCATAATGTCCTCCAGAAAAACATAGTATTCTTGTAATACTATTTGAGGAACTAGTAATTTTAACCTGTTGTAATATTGCCTACCTACCTTCCACACTGCTGCAATCCATAAGAAGTGTGAATAACTATACTATTAAGATTAGAAATCAGCAAGATTTTGAATGTAAAATAAGGTGTGGGCTTGCTGGAGACTCCTCAACCCTTTAACACCTGTCACTCTCTTGCAGAGGATTTGTTTTATATTCACAGCCAGAAGGCGTTTAATTCAACTCTTAACATCTAATTGAAAAGTCAGAGCAAGTTGAATTCATCCAGAAGTGCCTCAGAAGAAAGATCTGGTGATTTACTTCCAAAAAACCAGACAGTGAAAACCGCAGAGTCCTCTCGGGGTCACCATGATTTAGGGTCTACTCAATGGTGACTCTTTGGGGGTGGTTATTGCAAAATAGGAGAGGTGAAGTAAAGGAAGTTTTAAAAATCCATGAGAAAAACATTGGCAGCAGTAAGGGACCTTGTTTTGGCACCATGCCCTTCTCCACACTCATGCTGTTAGTGCAAGAAGCCCCCATGTTCAGGCTGGGTTCCTGTGTGAATGCTGGGTGGTCAGTGGGGTGGACACCTTGTCATTCATGGAGGTGTGACCATGGCTCTGTGCTCTGCAGTCGCATGCCCTACTCGGCTCAACTTCTGTAAGGTTCCTGCAGACTTTTTGTTTCTTGAAGGCAGGTGCCTTGTTGTTGTTGTTATTATGTGCCATCAAGTCGCTTGCGACTCATAGCCACCCTGTGTACAACAGCCCTAAACTCTGCTCTGTCCTGTACCAATCGCACTGTCTCTGATACACCCATTCCGATTACCCAAGTCACTGAATCAATCCACCTCATAGAGGGCCTTCCCCTCCTACGCTCTCCCTCCACCCTACCAAGCATGATGTCCCTCTCCAAGGACCTGTCCCTACTTGCAACATGTCCAAAGTTTGTCAGACGAAACCTTAGAATCCTTGCCTCCAAG